GTGGGGTCCTTCATGATGCAGGTGGCCCTCTTCCTGCATCTGGAGGTGTAGATGTCTGTGATGGTGGGGAGACTGATTCCAACAGATTTCTGTGCAGCCTTCACCACTCTCTGCAAAGCTTTTCTTTCTGCAGCTGTGCAGCCTCCATGCCACACATTGATGCTCGAGCACAGGATGCTCTCCACTGCACACCTGTAGAAGGAGGTGAGGACTGAGCTTCCCAGACCAGCTCGCCGTCTGAGGAAGTAGAGTCTCTGATGAGCTTTCTTGATCAGGCTGGTGGTGTTGTTGCTCCAGCTGAGGTTGTCATTCATGTGTACACCCAAGTACTTGTAGCTGGAGACCACTTCCACCGCAGATCCTCTTATGTTCAGGGGGGTGTAGGTGTTTTTGTTCCTTCTGAAGTCCACAATCATCTCCTTTGTCTTCTTCACATTGATGTGAAGGTTATTCTCTCTGCACCAGCTCTCCAGGTGTTCCACCTCTTGCCTGTAGCTGGACTCATCATTGTTTGTGATGCATCCCACCACCGCTGTATCATCTGCAAACTTTACAATGTGACAGCCTGGATGGGTAGCTGCACAATCATATGTGAGCAGAGTAAACAGAAGGGGGCTCAACACACATCCCTGAGGAGAGCCAGTGCTGAGGGTTATGGTGGAGGAGGAGAGGTTGTGGATCCTCACTAACTGTGGTCTGTTTGTTAAAAAGTCTAGTACCCAAAGTCTAGCAGAAGTAAGTAGAGAGCACAATTTTGCCCAGTTAGGCTGAAAAAAGCAAAATTGGCACAAAAGTGGAAATTATCTGGAAAAAGCTGAAGTTAACAAAAAAACAGCTGAAAAGTAGCTAAAAGGCAGAAAGAAGCTTAAATTACCAGAAGGAAGTGGAGAGAGTACATTTTTGCTGAAATAGGCAGCAAAAAGTTTAAATGAGTTAAAAAAAATGTGGAATTAGCAGGAAAAAAAATCAAATTTGCGTAAAACAACTATATAGTAGCTAAAATAGCAGAAAATGCTGAAACTTGTAGTAATAAGCTGAAAATGCTGGAGCATAACAAGCTGAAACGAGAAGAAGTTAGAAGAAACACAAAAATGTTGTAGTTAGCAGAAAGAATCAGGAAGGAGCACAAAACAGCTGAAAAAAACAACTGAAATTAGCTAAAAGTAGGGAAAAAAAAGTTTAAATTTGCACAAGGAAGCTGAAAGAAGCTGAACCAGAACAAAATGTGACAGGAGACGTAAAAATAATAGTGTGAAGACTTCATAAACATTCGCACAATTATTTAAAAGAGTTGCGATCCCTAAACACAGATCTGAAAACCCTCAAATGAAACAGGTCTGCTTTTTCAAGCACCTGCATGTGTTTTGATGAATGAGAAACATAATGAGCACATTATTTAAACAGTAGTAGAAGGAAATAGTGAAGTGAGAGCAGACACAAGAAAAGATCAAATCTGGAAGATGCCTTTTTTTAGGTGAGCAGAGATTCAGGATATTAGATGGTGCAGCACTCTAAAATAAATCCACACAACAAAGAAGAGAGCTTTGAGACGATGAGACACATGAGGTAAGAAGAGAGGAAAAATAGGCAATTCAGGTTTGCAGAATGAAACTGATGCAGGAGATTAAAAGGAAGATTTGCAAGAAAATAATATTACTGTCAAAGAAATGGGACAGACGACAGATCACAGGCTGAGTTTAAGAACATTTTTCACATTTCCATTGCTCTGTTAATGGCTCTTTGGTTGCTTCTTATTATGTAGTTGCAATTCACCAGTCCTTTGAAAAACAAAAAGAGCACCAAAGAACTCCACTTCAAAACCATGTAGAGAAGCATTATTTTCATATTTTTAAAGTAGCTTGTGCTCTCACTGCCCACTTAGACCCTGAGAGTCTGTCAGTTGTCACGTTGAAATTCTGCTTTGTTAGATTTCTAATAAATCAACAGTTTTATCTCCACAAAAGTCTATAAATATACACATTTCTATGCTCTTCTTTTCAAAAAATGTTTGTGTATAATTATTATGGATGAAATATGGAGCATTATTAGGATTAAATGGATTTGCAATGCTTTCAGACATATCATAATGCAGACCATCCTATCACAGTCCTCATTATGTACAGCTTATTTAAATCTTATCCAGAGAAAAGCAGCTACATACTCCAAAAACCAGACTGGAGCTCCATGTCTGCACATTTAAAAGTTGTAAATAAACCTTGTGCTAAAGTCCTCTTGTCTTTTCCCAAAAAATCTAAACCATGTCTGTGGATTTTTAGGAACTTTATCTTATTTAGGGCTGCCAAATGTATTAAGAAATTGTCATTGCTATATCAGTGTATGCAAAATCACAAAGGAATACAAGAAATCACTGACACAAACTGCACCCCAGTAATATACTGTGTTTGGTGATCAGATGAAAAACTGCCCTAAATGTTCACAGCTAATTGAGATGATAGTGGCAAAAATGCTAAAGCACACAGTCAATTTAATGGTGTGATGTCAAAAGAAAAGAGAAACGATAGAGACAAATGTGAGTTTGTTGCATCCGATAATGTTTTTGCAATATTTGTTTATAATGCAGTAATTTGTTTTCCCTAATAAATTGTAAATGGACTGTACTTATAGCGCCTTTCTAGCTTATCAAGATACTCAAAGCAGTTTTTCTACAATCTGTGCTCTCATTTATACAGCACTCAACTAGATCTCTACAAAGCTAATCTGAATCTAGAGATTAATCAGTGCTTTAGATAACATTCATACACCGATGGGACACACGTCGGAGGCAATGAGGGGTTCAATGTCTTTCCCAGGGACAGTACAGCATGTGACTGCTGGTGTAATCAAACCCCCAACTCTCCCAGTGGAGGACAGCTGCTCTAACCACTCAGCCACAGCTGCCCCAAATATCACACAGCCCTAATTTTCATGTTGTGTTTGGGTGTAAAATACTATATTTGTAGCGTTGTATCAAGTGGTGGGGCATGGTCTGCTTCAAGCTTAAAATTTTCTGTGTGAAAATCCAGAGGTTGCTAATTCTCTTTTTTTTTACTTTAACACACAAAGTAAAGGAGAATTTCATATAATTTATAAAGCAAAGTACTCCCTCGTTTATCGCGGGGGATCAGTATCATGAAGCCCTGCGATAAGTGAAAAACCACCAAGTAGGAATAGTAATGCAAGTAGGTATGGATGGATGGATGGATGTATATATGTAT